ACGTCTTTTTCTAGACGTGATGGTACTATTGATTGATTACTGCACACAGAGCAAGAGATGGAAAGCGGAGAGAAGGGGAGGGAGGGTGCAAGCAAAATGGCTTAGACTGGGGACTAGACACGATGTGAAGAGTCTAGTGTCTGGAGCCAGTCAATATAGTGGGATAGATGGGTTAGTTTGCACTTGATTCATCATTGCAGTTGGCCAGAGTTCTGTTATACCTCCCCATATTTGCCACTATATTTATAATCATTCTTTTGGCTTTATTTTTTATTTCTAGGTCTTGCTTATCCAGTCTGTTCCTTTAAAGCACTATATAAATGCTACCTTTTATCATCATTATTCCATTGTTCTGTTCTTTAATTTTCCGCCTATATCAGGTAGATTTTGATAATTTGTAATATAATTTGAGATAAGGTAGTTCCAAGAGCCTTTCTTTTCTACTTTAAAAACAAAACTCATCTTAAACTTTTTAAAAAAAATTGTTTTATTGATGCATTTAATTTTGTACCCTGCAGTCATTTCCCAGTATTCCCTTCAGTGAACCCACCTTTAGTTAAGCAAAAACTTTTGCATTTGACAGCATATTGAACATTCTGTGGTCTCTTATCTCTTTACCAAGAAGAGGGAAATATGTTTCACATCTGTTCTTCAGGATAAAGCTTGGCCACTGAAATTAATCTGAGTTCAGCTGCCTGTTAGTGATTTTCTTTCATTTGCGTTATTATGGTCATTGTGTATATGATTCTGGTTCTACGTAATTCTCCGTGTATCAGTTCAGTAGAAATCTTTCTATGCTTTTCTGAATTTGTCCTTTCTTGCTTAGCATCTTAGAAATACAGATTCAGAACTGGTAGAAACCTCAGGCCATCTAGTGGAACTATCTCATTTTACAGATAAGAAAACTGAGAGGTTAAATAACTTGGCCAATGTAACACAAATAGTAAACATCCAAGGTGGAGTTGGAACTCAGATCCATTAACTCCAAAGCCAGTGCTCTTTTTCACACTGCCTCCACCCTTACTTTTATTTGCACACCAACATGTGTTAAGACACTCCCCATTCAATGGATTTTTGCTTTGTTTCCATTTCTTAGCTACCACAAAACATGCTGCCATCAATATTTTTGGTATGTATGGAACAAAGGTTCCCTCTTGGTAGTATATTACCTACTAGTAGAATCACCAAGTCAAATATTTTCTCTACTAATTGCAAAATGTCTTCCAGAATCTTTGGACCATTTGACAGCTCTATAAATATGCCTATCTTTTCATGGAACCTTTAACTCCTTCCAACTTTTATCATCTTTGCCAATTTCATGAGTGTAGGGTAATGTCTCAGAGTTGCTTTAATTTCCATTCTTCTTCATTAGTAACTTGGAACATTATTTTCATATGATTTTAATAATTTGCAGTTCTTTTGAAAATGATTCACTCTTGAAAACTTTCACCACTTTACTGGGGAAATGTTTTTGATTTTACATATTTGTAAATATTCTCAATCTTGGATATGTTTTTATAAAAGATATTTGATGAAAATATTTCCCCCAGTCAAAAGTTTCTTGTCTCATTTTAACTGCATTTATGTTGTTTATACAAAGTCTTTTTAATTTTATGTAACCAACATTGCCTTTTGTGATCTCCTATATCCCTTGTTTTGTTATGAGTTGCTCCCAGCCATAGATCCTAAAAGTATTACCTCTTTTTCTTACTTTTTCTCTTACAATGTTTGAGTAACATCCATTTTCAGCTTCTTGTGCTACATGGTGTAAGATGTTGCTCTTATCCTATTTTCTGCTAAACTGCTTTCCTCCCAATTTTCTCAGTAGTTCTTATAGATAAGAAATTCTCACAGTTGTTTGGTTTCTAGCTTCATCAAATACTGAACTCCTGTGTTGAGTTGCTTCTGGGTCTAGTTTAATTTGTTTCACTGATCACTTCTCTATTTTAACCAATAAGAAAAAACTTTGATGGAGTGAAAACAACTCAATTCAGTCGGCATTTGTTAAGAGCCTACTAGGTGCCAGGGACTGTGCTTGGGGCTGGGGATACAGAGACAAAAATAAAACAGTCCCTGACTGCCCTGTAGGGAGTTAACTAGGATAGAAGACTGAAAAAGGAGAACACGATTAAGTACAAAATAATTTGTGGGTACTGACATCCAGGGAATCAAAAAGGTCTCTTATAAGGAAGTGGCATGAGTTCAGCCATGATGGAAACTAGGAATTCCAAGAAGTGATGGAGTATTGCAGGCATGGGGGGACAGCCAATGTAAATGAAGGGAGGTAGGAAATATAATGTCATACAAAGGGAATGTTGTTCCCGACTTCTATTGGAATAGAGAATATGTGTGGGGCAATGATATGAAATCAATCTAGAAATGTAGCCAGATTGTGGAAGGCTTGAAATGGCAGAGGAGTTTGCATTTTATCTTAGGATAATAAGAAGCCACCGAAACTTAAAACAGCAGAGAAACATGATCATGCTTGTGCCTTAGGAATATCAACTTGGCGTCTATGAGGAAGATGTAGACTGAAGAGATTAGATATAGTTTGAGATATGACTCATTCCTCTTTTCCCTTATTATTTCCCTTGGGATTCTAGACCTTTTGTTCCTCTAAATGAATTTTGTTATTTTGTCTAGTTCTAAAGACAAATCATCCCTTAACAATTTGAGTGAAAGAGCCTCTAGATTACATTAAATAATCATGTTGTTTTTTACTCTATTGGGGTGATTCCACCATGAATAAGGAACATCTTTCAAATTCTTTGTTTCTGAAAGGGATGTTTTGGAGTTTTGCAGTCAGGTCAATGTGTTAGATCAGGTTTGAGAGGGCTGGCATTTAGATTTTTTTGTTTTTTTTTGCAAGGCACTTGGGGTTAAGTGACTTACCCAGGGTCACACAGCTATTAAGTGTCAAGTGTCTGGTCTGAGACTGGATTTGAACTCAGGTCCTCCTGAATCCAGGGCTGGTGTTCTATACACTGCACCACTTAGCTGCCTCCTGGCATTTAGTTTTTGATAGATTAATCATATTCAGAAAAGCCCTCTTAAGTAAATGTTCCATTCTGCCTAATGTTTTTTCCACATCTATTGATAAAAAATGATTTTTATTTTGTTATTAATATATGATTACGATGATAATTTTCCTAATATTAAAGCATTCTTAATATTCTGGATATAAGTCCAATTGCGCTAAAGCAATCTAAAAATATATTAGTCTGGTCTGTTTACTAATAGTAAATTTTATTTATTATTTTTTGTGTCAATATTCATTAATGATGATGATCCACAGGTTTCTTGCAGTAACAGCTTTTGGCCTGCTTGATATGAAACAGTCACTGTCGATGTGGACTTGTTTTGTATCTCCTAGTTGGAAAGTGAGAAGATGAAAGTGAATAGGAGCATTGGATTTGGAGACAGAGGCCCTGGATTCTTGCTTTAAGCCTGGCAAAACACTTGACAAATATCTCACTTTATCCTCTCAACAACCCTGGGAAGTAATTACTCTCATTATCCCCATAATTACAGATGAGGAAACAGGTAGACAGATTAAGCCCTCGCTCAGGGTCACACACTTATTAAGTGTCTGCGGCAGAATTTGGTCCAGTGTTCTGTCCACTGTGCCACCTAGCTGCCTTTCTCACTGACCTTGCATGACCTTGGACAAGTCACAGTCTCCCTGAGTATTAGTTTCTTTATTTGTGAAATGAGGGGATTAGACTAAATAGCCTCTAGCCCCCCTTCTAGCTCTCGATGTATATCATGATGCTAAGTCTGAGGCCCAGGGTGACAGCAGGGTGATGCAGCTCAAATACTTATGTAAACTGTTTCTACTCTCTCTGCTAAATGATTTAACCCTTGAGGGAAGGAAGGATGGGAGGGAGAGAGGAGGGAAGGAAGGATGGGAGGCAGAGAGGAAGGAAGGAAGGAGGAAGGGAGGGAGGAGGAAGGGAGGGAGGAAGGAAGAGAGGAAGGAAGGAAAAGTAAGGGAGGAAAGAAAGGAAAGAGAAAGGGAGGGAGGGAAGATTAAGTGCCTATATACCAAGCTCTGTGCTTAAGTGTTAATACACATATCTCATTTGCTCCTCAAAACCACACTAGGAAATAAGCGTACTGAGTAGTTCTTTTCTAGTGAGCCTTAAAAGAACTGGTTAGGACCAACATAGGAGATGCCAAGACAGATAAAACAATATTTTGCTAAAGTTGTTTAATAGAACAGCACTCTGACCTGCCAAAGGTATTTTATGAATTTCAAAGGTCACTTTATATTTATAACCTATAACTTGCTCCATTACAGGTGTGTGAAAGTTAAAGATTATGGAGAGCAGATGACCAAGTAATTGTTATCAAGCTAAAGTCTCCCATTATACTGTATTATCCACTTAAGCTGATAAAAACTGAAAACTAATCATTGGCTTGAGGAGGGTGGGTTGTGTTATGCTCAGATTCTACTCTTAATCAATTGTTGGATTATTTTAGAGAATAAGACTTCAAATAAGTCTTCCAATGATATACAGTTTAAAGGGGTGGGGAGGGGGAGAGAAGGAAAGAAGCCCTTTGTGACCGACCAACCCCATGAGATTTCTCATTTCTTTTTCATGCAGGCACTGAGCATGGGTAGGGTCTGTGGAACTGACTCAGACCTGGTTCTGATGGCCCTGTCTCCACCAGGGTTTTCTTTCTATGCAGTAAGTCTGCAAACCATGAAAATAGACCATGCGTGCATATATATACACTTTATTTCATATATATTCAAAACTAACAGACTAAAAATAATTAAAATATGTTCAACATTCAGATTTATCTATAAGTATAATTTATCAATGTTTGAGAACTAAAATTTGTTACTCCAGGAAGTAATCCATGCTTGGTTCTTACAGGCCACCTTGAAAACATTTTTTGAGTGGGAGTAAGAATGGATGAGCCTGGAGTTTCTGAGAAGGAAAGCCAGAACAGGCTTGGTATTTAATTCTGTAGAGTTTCTTTGACTTAAGACTTTAAACGGTTGGAATTAGTGGGTCTTTGGGAATATAGGCTGTTGATTTCTTGCCACTGTTGCTTTTGCTGCTGAGGGCAGTAATTTCTGTCCCAGAGATTCAGATTCTTGGCAGGAGGCTTTGTTTTGCTGAAATATTCTTCAATGGCATCTTCAAGCTTGCTTCTTTCTTTAATCAATCCAGACTTATCCTCAGCCTCTGAAATAAACAGCCCAAATAAGATAACATGGGAATTGAGACTTTGTAAATTCAGTTTTGAGCTTCCATTAAGGAATTACATAATGTGGAACTCCATGAAACTGAGCTAAATGGGAATTCCCTGGAGAATTAGTGCTAAAAATATGTTTAACAACTGACTCTCAAAAAAGAATGTTTGCATGACACATTTTAAAGTTTTATCTGCATTGTTAACATTTTCTCCATCACTTCCTGAAGTCTAGAAAATTAAAAAAGATTTGCAGCCTTTGCTGATTTCCAAGGTATAAATGCTCATACTGGAAATTTAGCCATTAGCTCTTGTGGGCCAGTAGGAGCTGCTCCAACACAGCCCTACTTTCATTTTTTTTTGTTGCCAACTGTCTCTCCCCAAGGTAATATTCTCATAGAACAATTATGTTTTTATAATTCAGCAAATAGTATTGATGGTTTTTATTATGAAAATATCTAGACCATATGCCTGATTTTACTTGGATTTTGTCACTGTTATAAGCATTCCAGAAAAAGTCCAGTGGTAACTTTGATTTCCAATTATGCTGAAAAGATTTCTCTTCTATGTTATGTGAATCATTCACCTAATAAGACCAGGACCTTGCTTTTATTGCAGCTGAGTTTAGAATGAGGGAATAGATTATAGAATCACAGATTTTGATTTGGAAGGGAACATTTAGATTTGATTTAATTTGATTTGGAAGCCACCAAGGTCAACTTTGATTTTATAGTTGTGAGGAAAGTGAGTTCCAGATGAGTTAAGTGACTTACCCTAGGTCACACAGGTCATGTCAGGTGTAAGATCTAAACCTAGGTCTTCTGCTTCCAGTGATGTCTCTAAGGTTGATAGGCTTATTGATCGGGTTAGATTTTGTAAGTCTACTTCCAATTGTGGAAATAGCTGATTGAGGATGAATCTCAGGGGTTGATCAAGTATATTCCAGCAACATTTGGAATACAATATATGGAACATGGTCAAACCTGGGATGGTCCAAGGAAATCTGAGTTGAGGCATATCCAAGGAGATATATTTGGGCCCTATGACATCTCTGGTATTGGTGTAAAGGACCTTGTGTAGATTGGAGTCCATTATCTTGGGTGTGGACTATGAAACAAAACATATCTTCTGGTTCATCTTGTTACTTTATCAAGTTAGAACCCTCTACACCTCTGTGAGAATCAGTTGAATTTCTTTGACCACTCTGCTGGATCTTTCTTCTTTCCTGTGCCTGGGTTCAGAATGTACCCTTGAGTGTGGCTTAAAATTGACCTGGTCCTGGGATGGGGACCAGGTGAGGTGCAAGCATCTGCTTTTCTCACTTTGTTCTGTTCTATATTGTTCTCTCTTTCGTGATACTTCTGCAGCATAGTTATGGGAATCACAAAACATTAGCCCACAAGGCACCTTCGGTGGTCCATCTGTTGAGTACAGGACAGTCTTTAAACCCTTGCCTTCCTTGAAATAGGATCTTGAAAGGATCTTCCTTGAAAGAAATCTTCCTTCTTGAAAGAGAATATCAAATAGATATTTTTGGACATGACCAATGTAGGTATTTGTTTTGCTTGACTATGCATATTTGTTCCAAGATTTTGTCTTCTTTTTATTTATTTTTTTAAATAGGGAGTAGGGTGGGAAGGAGGGAAAATACATTTTTGTTCATTGAAAACAGCTAAATTTGGAGGCCCATCACTACTGTCTTTTATTAATTAATTGATATTTAATTAATAATACAGCCCATTTATTAATATCCTCATTATACTGCAGACAGCATTTAAGTGACTTGCTTAAGGTCACATAGCCAGGAAGTGTCTGAGGCTGGCTTTAAACCCAGGTCTTCCTGACTCTAGGTCCAGTGCTCTGGACATATTCAATTCTTCTGACACTTACTACTTATGTGACTTTGGGCACATAGATATTAACCTGCTTGGGCCTATGTTTATCTAAAAAATGAAGAGATTAGACCTGATAGTTTCTGAAGATCCTTCCATTTCTAGACCAGTGATCCTAAGACCAAACTTGTAGTTTTTGCTGCCTAACTCCTATCTTAGGGTTTCCTTTCACAACAGTCAATGCAACATTTTTATTTATGGCAAATTCGATACGTGGTTATATCTGTATCTCTTCCCTTCTTGAAACAGCTCTTTTATTTAGTGTCCATATCTTCAAAACTAAATATTAGAAACAGTTGCACTTTCCATTGGTAGGACTTGTGTCTTTATTATAATATTTTATCATTAATATGCACAAATTATACTTAACCTTGTCTTGGTACTTTATTTTTTTCCGGTTTTTGGCTTGGAACTCTAGATCAGAGAAAAAGGACAGTGAATTTCACATACATCTTACATGCCTACACAAGCATCCTCTATGGACTACATCATCACAAAAGTCTCAGTGTTTATAAAACATAACAATCCTATCTTTAGGCTCTTTGCCCTAGATAGACTTATATCTTCTTTCTGATCAGAAAATCAAATAATTTTGTAGTAAATAAATAGTTATATAAAATGAAGGTCAAAGTGTTTTAATATGTTTCCAAAGCCTCTGATGTCCATAGAAATCTCAACTTATGATAGTATTGATTTATTACTTGGGAGGGTTCAGGGTGGGAAATTATGGCACAGTATAACTGGAAGGTGACAGTATTGTTTTATAAAAAGAAAAAAAAACTGCATCAGTAGATAATTCCCTCCATCCCCCAAAAAAGCAACCTTGTCATGGGGCAAACAACAATATCATTTTCCTTTGCGTTTTTCAATATGCCTTTCTGAGTGACACATGATCTTATTTCTCCATTGGCTTCTTTCACATAAGGCCTTTCAAAACTTTTTTTTTTAAAGGAAAGTTTTTGTCCTATTTGCAAAAGTAACACCTGCAGATGGATTTAGATGGATACAGTTTTCCTACCATACCACTTTACCGTGTAGAATGTGGAATGTTTCCTTAGGCCGAATGAATTAATTAATAATGTATCCAACATCCTTGGCAAGTCATTTAACCACTCAATACTTTCAACAACTCTCTAAGACTCTAAGTTGCAGAGAAACTGCACAACCTGCATTTGTAGAGAGAATTTCTTCAACTGGGAACTCTTTCTTGTCGATGAAATCACAGATCTAATCTGTTCTATATCCTCTCTCTCTGTTCTCCACTCCCTTACTTACTTCGCTTTTTGGCAGAATATAGCACCTCCTTGGGTGGGAATAATTTAAATCATATCTAGGCTTTCTACTATATTTTTATATTCCTTTTTCTTCATTTTTAGAGTGACACGCAATTTTTTTGTCCTCTATTCAGGTCATCTTTTGCCTTTCAATTTAGGAAAGAGATGATAGAAAAAGAAAAACTGCTGGATTAGATAATTTAGTAAAAACACTGTTCCCTGAATATTGGGGAGAGAGAAATCAAGAATTTTTAATACAAAAGCCCTGTTATTAAAAAAATCCATCTATTAAGTTAAAGGGAAGTCTTTTAAACTTCTGACATTCATCCTTCTTGAAAGATAAAGTCTCATATATATGTATATATTTGCACATGACCAATGTTGGGTATTTGTTTTGCTTGACTATGCATATTTGTTCCAAGATTTTTGTCTTTCTTCTTTTATTTTTTTAAATGGGGAGATGGGAAGGAGGGAAAATAGATTTTTTTCATTGGAAAAAGTTAAATTAAAACCTAAAAATAAATCACAGTCAAGTAGTTAAAGGAAATCAATAGCCCCTTTTTAGTTAATAGAAGTTCATGCTGTGAAATAGGTAGCATAAATATTGCTATTTTTTTTTTGAGACAACTGAGTCTCAGAGTAGCCTGTAACTTTGTGATCCATAACTAAATGGTCCGTGACTTTGGACTCTGACTTCCAGAGACTTTTTTACTACTCCAGGCTTCTCCTGGATGTCCATCAGTTGGTAACTAAGGCTTTTCATGATGGAACGTTCATTACCTGTTGACTTTAGGCACCTCTTCCTTGTCCAGGGCTAGAGTCTTGCTCTTTGCTAGAGGAGTTATGCCAGCTTTGACTGATGATTTTCCTTTCTCTTTTCCAGTTTTCTTTTGGGGAACGTGCTCCCAATTTTTCAACAAGTTGACCTCAGAGAGCTCTGAATGGATCAAAGCTGATACCCATTCTTTTTCTGATTTGAAAGGGGAAATAAAGCTGCAGTTATAATTCAGCTGTAGAATAATACAACATTAGCTACTTAGACCTAGTCCCTAGTGCAGATTGTTTTCTGGACCATCATACCAAACCTTAGTTTCTGTGGTTCTGTGCAGAGAGTGGTTCACACTCCAAAATCATTTGTTACTGTTGAACCATAGAAGAGGATCATAGATTTAAGATGGAAAGGGTCTTGGTGTTCATTGAGTCCAACCCTTTCATTTTACAGATGAAGATGCTGAGGTTCAGAAATGTTAGGTGACTTGTCTAGGGTCCCACAGTTAGTAAATGTCTAGGGTGGAATTTGAACCCAGATCTTCTAGATTCCAAGTCTAGTACTCTACTCATTATTTCTGCCACCTCACATAATACACTAATGACAGTGGTCTACATGGGGTTACATGGGGCACATCTAAAGGTTCCTTCTGTCCCAAATATCTCCCCTAAAGTCTGCCATTTTGTTGGAAATTCCCATAGAGGGACTGGGCAAGAGGTAATGAGAAACCCAGGGCTGTACATCACTGAGTCAGAATCCAAGGGGACTATGCAGTTGAGATCAGAAATCTAGAAAGTTGAGTCTAAAAGATGAATCTAAAATGAGTCTAATACCTCCCTGAGGTACAGGGAGACCACCAGAAAAACTAACGTTGATACTGAACCAACTTTTCCTTCTCATATATTCCCTGACTAGGTCTGGAAATGGAGTTAGCACATGAGTGGGAACAAGTTTATAGGTCAAGGCAAATAGTTATACCTGATGAAAGGAGTGAGGAACCAGGCAATTCCTGACAGATGGTCTCAACCACCCAATTCAGTTCCATTATAGACTTTTCCATTCATCTCTCAGTTTCCTGGAATCGCTGAATGACACAGCTACAGGAGACCTTTGAGATTATGGTGTCCGATCCCCTGATTTTTACATATGAGGAACCTGAGCTCCCAAAAACTTCAGAGACTTGTTAGTGGCTTCAGGCCAGTCATTTTCCTACTGTAACATGTTACCTTTTTTTGTGAATATGTATGTCTCAGAGTGAGAATATTATCTTAAAGGACTTTTATATTCCCCCAAAGTGCCTAATAGATAGAGGTATGAACATTTGACTTGCTGTATTGTTCACTGAATGATTAATCTATGCATAAAGCATAGTCCAGGTGTGCCCAGGTATGTAAGCACAACTGACCTGCAATCTTACACGTGCCATATTGTGAAGTGTATATCAAACAGTTTCAGGGCCTACCTGCCTTGTTTCTTGACTCATTTGTGACTCCAAGAAATGAGGTAAAAAAAGTAGAGTGACCATCACTACTTTGGGGGATTGGAAATGATTTTGGTAGAATTAAGTCAGAGTCAGAGTATTGGTTTGGAAAATCTGTAGCAACTAATAAGGTGACCAGAAATTGGGTAATGTCTTTATGGCGGTCAACTTGACCTTAGGAATGGGAAATAAATATAAAATATAACAAAGAGAGTGATATTCGTACTGTAATTCCCAACACTAAACACAGTGTTTAAATACCTTATAGGTACTTAATAAATACTTGCTGCTTTGTATTGAATAGAAAAAGGAGTATCGGTATCTGAGAGGCTAGCCATAAGGCCATTGTAGTAATTAAGGTTTGAGGCAGTGATCTCTTGGGATTAGAATGACATCGTTGGGAATGGAAAGGAAAAGTGGAATTCAAACTTTTTAGAAGGAAGAATCAATAGGAAATGATGTCTGCCTATAGGTGGATGAAGGAGAGGGGCCAGTCAAACATGGATGATTGGGAGCGTAGTGACAAAGACAGTGACATTGAGAGAGAAATTTGATTTGGGGAGGACATGCTCATTTTGGAATGAGACATGTTGAGTAGAATCTAGCAACAGGAGGAAACATCACTGAAGCAGATATACATGTGATCCTGGAATTATCTCTGATACTCCACTGAGAAGGAAGTTAATTGATACAGGTTGACCTTAGAACCCTTACCAGCATCCAGCTTTTATAAATCCATAGTATAGGAGTCAAGTTTTCCCTAGCTTTTAAGCCCCTTTCAGGACAGAAAGCAGCCTGGAGTTTCTGAATAGCTTGCCTGGGGCATTATAATGTTCCTGCCTCTTACCTTTCACATTTGCATGGAGTAGCCACTTGAGGAGTTCTGCCAGGGAGTCTGTTTGTAGAATTTCACAGAGCTTGGACAGAATCTGAAAGAAACACATTTGGGATGTGGTGAGGAATATTCCCTTGAGGAAATGGCCAGTGCTCACAGAATTCATCCTTGGCTAGTCTACCAGTAAGAAGAGGCATTAAATATCACACACCTGACAGAATGTAAGCCTTCAGAGGAAGCTTTTATCTTTGGATGGCCATTGCCTCGAGCATTTGCTCTTAACCTGGAGTCTGGAAACCTGCTCTTTTAATATTTTGATAGCTTTATTTCAATATATTTAGTTTCATTTATAGTCCTATGTATTTTATCATATGCATTTAAGAGCATTATTCTGAGAAAGGCTCTGTTGGCTTCATTATATTGACAAAGGGATCCATGACACAAAAAAAGGCTAAGCACTCCTTGTCTGCCACATAGTAGGTTATTAATAACTACTTGCTGATTTATTTTTAATAGTAGTTTACTTTTTCCAATTACACGTAAAGACAATTTTTGAATTTGAGTTCCAAATTTTCTCCCTCCCTAAGACAATAAGCAATTTGATATAGGTTATATATGTGCAATCGTGTAAAACATATTTCCCTATTAGTCATGCTGTAAAAGACGAAACAGAACAAAAGGGAAGAAAACATGAAAAAAAAATGAAGTGAAAATAGTATGCTTCAATCTGCATTTAGACTCCGTTCTTTCTCTGGATGTGGATAAAATTTTCCATCATGAGTCTTTTGGAATTAGAAGACCATAGTATTGCTGAGAAGAGCTAAGTCAATCATAATGGATCATCTCACAGTGTTGCTGTTACTGTGTACGATGTTCTCCTGGTTCTGGTCATTTCACTCTGCATCAGTTCATGAGATCTTTCCAGGTTTTTCTGAAATCTGCCTGCTCATCATTTCTTTTAGCACAACAGTATTCCATTATGTACCACAATTTGTTCAGCCATTCCCCAATTCATGGGCATCTTCTCAATTTCCTATTTTTTGCCACCACAAAAAGAGATGCTATAAATATTTTTGTACATGTGGGTCCTTTCCCCTTGTCTATGATCTCTTTGGGATACAGATACATTAGTATCTTTCTGAATTTTGACTGAACTATCATATATTCACTTTTTGTATGAAATCCCAGAATGTGATTATTTTCTTAATCTTTGTTAATTATTATATCAGGATATCTGAATGTAATATATATGAACAATGTATACATATATACATATACACATATGCTCACAAATGAAAGGTTTTTTTTCTTTTTAGGAAGACCTTTTATGTACTTGATGAGTATTAGGGATAATGTCTCATTTAATTATGGTTTATTTTAACTGAATGCTATTGAAATAATAAGAAAAATAACTATCCTGCCCTGAGAAGTGATTAGTGAAATTTGCAGTGTGAGGCAAAATCTCTTGAGACTGTAATTTGATTTGTTTTGAGTTTTGAATTCAGGTATAACTGTTTAAATTATTGTTGAGCTTATTAATAACCCCATTGTTCAAGGAAAATGTCATAAGCTGCTCAGAGGGAATAAGAGCTGAGAACTGCTACTGGTAGATATCTAAGAAGGTTGAGAAGGCCTTACAGAGCTAATAGCAAGATCCTCTTGATTCAGTTTCCCAATTGTGCAATTTCCTTTCCAAAAAGGAAGGTTTCCCACTTGCATAATACTGTACCTGGCTGGCTATGACACCCCGTGAATAATACAGATGCATAGTGAAGTGAACAGAGCCAGGAGAGCATTGTACACAGTAACAGAAATATTTTTTGATGAAGAACTGTGAATGACTTAGCTATTCTCAGCAATACAATGATCTAAGACAATCCCAAAGGACCAATGATGAAGCATACTATCTGCCTCCAGAGAGAGAACTGATATTGACTGAACACAGACTGAAGCATGCTATTTTTCACTTTCTTTCATTTTTTTTCTTTTGAGTCTTCTTGTACAAAATGACTAATATGGAAATGTTTTACGTAATTGCACATGTGTAACCTAAATATGTTTGCTTACTGTCTAAGGCAGGAAAGCTGGAATTTGGAACTCAAAACTTTAAATAAAAATTTTTTAAAAAGAATATCAGATTCTATAATTTGTGAATGGTAATCAAGGATGGGCCCTTTTGACACAGAATTTCCTAGGAAAAATGTTTCTCAGAAGCAGAAAACTGCATGAAGTCGACGACTAAACCCAAAATGATAGAATAAGAAATTTATTGTATAAATCAGGGTGGGTAACCTTTGGCCTCGAGGCCACATGTGGCCCTCTAGGTCCTCAAGTGTGGCCCTTTGACTGAATCCAAACTTCACAAAACAAATTCCCTTAATTAAAGGATTTATTCTATAAAACTTGGACTTGGTCAAAAGGCTGCACTCAAGGACCTAGAAGGCCACATGTGGCCTCAAGGCCACAGGTTCCCCACCTCTGGTCTAAATGGACATTGATAAGCATTCCCCATTTCTTTTCTTAGTCCCCTGATAATAGGGTTATGTTTACAGTACTTTCCATTGTCTCTTAAAGAATCCCACACTTTTTGGAAATTATTATGACTCTTCAACTTTACTAAGAGGTTTTGTTCAAGTTGGTTTATTATCTTATTTTTCAGATTTGATTGAATTGAAGTTTAAAAAAATTTTTAAATGTATTTTTCACATTCTTTTCTTTTTAAATTTTGAATTCTGGATTCTCTCTTTCCCTCCTCCTCCTCCCCTGCTCACTGAGAAGGCAAAAAAAATATGATATCAATTATAAGTGTGAAATCATACAAAATTTATTTTCGTATTAGTCACATCACAAAAAAGGAAAAAAATGAAGTGAGAAAATTATATTTCAGTTTGCACTCAGAGTTCAACAGTTCTCTCTCTGAATGTGTAAGGTGTTTTTTCATCACGAGTCTTTTGGAATTATCTTGGATCATTATATTAATCAGAGTAGCTACATCTTTCACAGTTGATCATCATTACAATGTTGCTGTTACTGAGCACAATGATCTCCCAGTTCTCTCTTCATTTTGCATCAGTTAACATAGGTCTTGCCATGTTTTTTTTTTCTGTACACCATCCCACTCATCATTTCTTATAGCACAATAGTACTCCATCACAATCATATGCCACGTCATTCAGCCATGCCCTAATTGATAAACATACCCTCAATTTCCATTTCTTTACCACCACAAAAAGATGTGCTATAAATATTTTTGTATGTATAGGTCATTTTCCTTCGATCTCTTTGGGGTACAGACCTAGTAGTGGTAATACTGAGCCTCTTTCTTGGTCACTCAAAGTGGGAGAATTCATTGACTCTGTGTTTTCTGATGTATCCTAATAATACAGAACTATTTGCTATTTGTAATGGGCTTATTCACTTTTCATGATTTGTGATGATCTTTTGTGTAACTAATATTTAATGGGAAGAAGTCAAACCTGTAGGGTATATGCTGGGGTTACTCTTTGCCCCTTATGTAAGATAGCTGTGATGAGTGTGGCTTTAAACTAAAAATTGTGTCTTTATGACAGCAATATTCATTTTCTACCAGCAACTCTGCTTGGTTTTGGCTCCAGGAACATCATGGCTCTCCCAGGATTAGCTGATCACCTGAAATCTCATCATCATTGTGCAGATTGACTCAGCTTTTGATGGTCATCATTTCCTTAACACTCTCTACTCTCTAATTGGAGGGCTAGAGCAATAAACTACTCCTACAGTCTTCCTTTATAGAGGGCTCTGGACTTTCCAGGTAAGTCGTCATTTTCCATTAGTGACCCTTCTTGGTTTCCTCTTCACAAACAAACACTATGCCTTCCTACCCACCCTTTAGCTTCCTTCTGTGTATTGTCTTCCCTGTTAGATTGTAAGCTCCTTGAGGGCAGAGCCTTTTGTTTCTTTTTGGTATCCTCAGTACTTAGCATAGGGCCTGGCACATAGTAGGTGCTTAATAAATGTTTTTTGAATTATTGAATATGTAGGGGGACAGAGAGAGATAATTCTAGTCTAGTAACCTTTCTCTCAGTGGCAGCCTTGCAGCCCCAGTTTCCTGCTCCCCTCCAGGCAAGAATCAAAATATCCCATGGATAGAGGTGGAGATTATTCGTTCCTCCCCTCAAGTGTCATTTGGATAACCCATGTGAACATATCATTTCATATGAGCAGTACACACCTTCCATGTGAGGTAGAGATCATAGAGACTGGAAAGGAATTTCAGAGACCATCTTGTCAAACCTGCTCATTTTATAGATGAGGAAACTAAGACCCATAGTTCTTCCTGAGTGATTCTTATAAGATAACTGCACACACTATGACTATAAATTATTTGCCAAGGAGCTCAATTTACGTTGTGGCCCTGAGGAAACCACGTACCAATGAGTAGATAGACCTCTCAGAAGATCCCCTCCTTACAAAGAGTGTTCCTGAAAGCTGCTGTTTTTAGACCTTTCTAGTTCTGTCCCTTCCTAGCTGATTTGTCCCCATCCTGCTAGAAAGTGTTAGCAGTTAGCAAGAAGCGTATCACTCGACTCTGTCAGCCACACTAAACTAACCCTCTAACACACTCATGTGCATGGCAGCTCCCAGAATCATCCTCCTCACAAGCATTCAATGCACATAGTAAAAAATATTCTAAGCAATATTCCATTACTCTGTTTCTCCTTGTTTCTATGCCTTTTCACTTCTTACTTTTTTTATAGATGACATTTCATCTCCTATCTCTGTATCTTTGCACTGGTTATGCCCCATTCCTAGAATATACTTCCTCCTCATCTTGGCCCCTTAGAATTTCTAGTTTCCTTCAAGAGACTCAGGCACCGGGGCAACTAGGTAACACAGTGGATAGAATACTGGCTCTGGAGTCAGGAGGACCTGAGTTCAAATCCGGCCTCAGACACATGATGCTCACTAACTGCGTGACCCTGGGCAAGTCACTTAACCCATTGCCTAACCAAAAAAAGAAAGAAAGAAACTCAAGCACCACCTCCTACTTGAACTTTTTCTTGATTGCCTCTCCATGTATTTGTATCTAGTTTATAGATTCCTGTATAAATGCATAAAATATCTCCTCTGTTAGAATGTAAGCCTCTTGAGGTCAGGAAGTGTCATTTATGTCCCTGTGTCCTCAGGGCCTGGTACAGCGCCTGGCAAATAGCAGGGACCTCATAAATGCCTGTTGATAGAATAACTGATTTATTTACACATTCTTTGGTTATAGTAACAATGCTAAATATGGCTCTTACTTTTATTTCCTGATCCAGATAGTTTGGTATGCAAATTGTCTTGCCTCTCACTTCACTCTTGGGATTAATGTGTTCAGAGACCGTAGGACCTTGGTTTGCCCTTGGGTGTGAAATGTGACTTCTGCCCAGAAGTGCTTCCTAAATCAAAAGCATAATGCAATCATTTGGTTTTGCCTCCAGTTAGAATTCATGCTAAAACTAAAGAAAATGTATGGGTAATAAAAGATATACACATGTATGAATGCACATACACATAGCTAAGTCCTGAGGTGGATAGAGTGCTGCATTACTTGGACCTGAGTTTGAATCTAACTGCATGACTGTTGACAAGTCACTTGATCACTATCTGCCTTGGTTTCCTCATCTGTAAAATGGGGATAATAATAGCACCTCCCTGCCAAGGTGTTGTGAGGATAAAATGAGTTAATATTTGTAAGGTGCTTTGCAAACCTTAAAGTGCTATACAAATGCTACCTATTATTGTTGTGGTGGTGATTATTACTAAAACTTCCTATTTTTTTTAAGCACAAAAGTCAACTAAACCAATAACCATTTATGCTAGAGAGGAACCCAGTTCATTTTCAGAAAGCAGCTACAGTACACTAATCAGCAGAATGAATTAATGACCCATGTGATAATGGAGAAAAGTAGGGAATAGGGATGATATCTGTGTTTTCACCTCTATAGAGAATTCCCAGATGAGAAAACTCCTACCAGTGTAGTTCTGCACCTTTTCTTCAACTTTTAGTCTTAGAAGGTTGTTGAATAGAACACTGAGAAGTTAAGTGACTTGCTCAGTCACATAGCCAGTATGTATTAGAAGGAAGACTTCTTAAAACAAAGAAAGTAGGCATTGTGGGAAGGGCGGGTTGGGGAATATGGAGATAATGAGACAGACCATGGGGTCGTCTGGCTCTGGACCTAATGTTGTTTCTGAATATACCATGCCCCTTCTCTCTTTCTTTTTGATGTCTTTATTCTCCAGTCCCCAAAGCCCAAATTCTGTCTTACTCCTTCCCAGATGTCCCTAGTTCTCCAGTAATGCCATAGTCCTAGCACTATTCTGTAGGAAAGTATGGAATCTTATCTACCTCTCCTAACTTCCAAGGCTCAGCTACTACAAGGCACTCAGGCAAATCATATGATTGTCCTACCAAGAGGGAGAAGCATAATGGCTCTGTGTTTGGAGGACATTCATTTGGAGGACAAAGTCTTTGGAACAAATGTTCTCTATTTAATAATGTTGATGAGAGCCTAGTTGAACAAAGTTTTAAAATATATGACCCTTTGGGGGTTTAGCAGGGCAATTCCTATACCTAGCTGATAATTTATATAAGGCAACGAGTGCTGTCCTAAAAAAATATAATTAAAGAGTTATATTATTTTTCATAGGAAAGAGGTTGTAGAGGATATTCCCTCCATGCCTTCATCCCTATGGTAGTTTGGTGACAAGAATATTGGTCTAGAAGTTAAGAAATGTAGGTCCCTAGAACCTGCTCTTGGGCTAGCTAGTTATTTATAAAAGAATTAAGCATGTAAAAGTAAGTTAATGTTGTTACTATTATTATCACCATTACCATATCATCCATTCCTTTGTTTAGTTTTGAGAAAGGCATGTGAGAAGAAATGAAAGGCTGATAATTCATAGAGAGATAATTGGACACATATAACTGGCAATATTTTCTTACCTTTTTAATCTTTAAAACACCTTCACAGGGATCATCAAAAAAACCTTTTGTTTGTTTACAGGGCTCTGAAATTGAATTGAGGGAAAACAGTTTTAGGTCAAACTGTAAGGGAATTTTGCTCTTATGTGGCATGGTATCCATTTCAATATGTTGGCAGATGAACTACAGATGCAAATACTTACTTGCTATCGTTATAATGGATTCTATAAGTAGCACCTTGGGCTTCTATCCAACCCTAAAGGTAGGTTCCCCCTAATAGACAACTACCCCCAGGTTTAAGGTTCTTTGTGACTTTACTCCCTTAAAAACCATAGCTCGTGAGCCCCCACTGATTTGTTTACCTTTAGTATTCAGCCAGAGCACACAATCTGGCTTCCAAATACACCATGTGACTGAAACTGCTCTCTTTGAGGTCAGCAATGATACCATAAGAACTAAATCCAATGGTCTTTTCTGAGTCCTTAGCCTTCCTGACCTTCCCTTTGGCACTGTTGGTTAACCTCTCTTCCTAGATATTCTTTCTTTCCTGGGTTTCCATGACACTATTCCCTCCAATCTGATGGCTCCATCTCAGTATTCTTTACATAAGATCATAGATGCTGGGCTGGAGGGGATCTCAGAGGTATCTAGTCCAATCCTTTCATTTTACAGATGGACAAAACAAGACCCAGTGCGGTTAAGTGATTTGTCCCATGTTATGCAAGTATCATTAGAAGTGGGTTTTGAATTCAGGACCTCTGACTCAAAGCCTGACTCTACTGTTCCATCATCAATGTCTTATTCTTATTGCATTAGGGTACCCCAGGGCTCTGATCTGGGTCCTTTTTTTTTTCCTCTACACTTTTTTGGTGAACTTGTCAGACCCATTCCTAAGCAGATGACTCCCAAATCTTCCTATCCTTTCCTCATATCTCCTAAGCTCTAGTACCACATCTCTAGCTTGTTGGACATCTCGCTTTGGTTGCCCCGTAAACATTTCAAACTCAATATACCCCAAACCCAGAATTCGTTATCCTTCCTCCTAAATCTACTCTTCCTCCTCACTTCCCCACTTTTGAAAAAGGCAGCACTATCCCTCTAGTCAACTGGCGTGGAACCTTGGAATTGTCTTTGGTCCTTCATTACTCCTAACCCTCCATAGCTAATCGTAATTCTGTTTCTACAATATTTCTCACATTTGCCCCTTTGTCCCTACTCACAAGGTCACCACCTAATTCATGTCCTCATCCACTCTTTGAAAATTTATTTTTATTTTTTAAGAAATAAGTTTTACTTATTTTGTTATTCATATCACCATAATTTCTCCCAAATATCCCTTCTTTCCTTCACTCTCAGAGAGCTATCCCTTATATTGAATAGTGTTTTTAAAGACAAAAAAAGAGAAAGATGAAAAATCAGCACAAATTAATCAATGCATCAATGATAAGTGTGAAAACAAGTGCAACGTACAATACTACTGAACCTCCCACCACTGCCAAGGCTCGATGAGGTGGAGACGCTTTATATCTCTTCTTTTGATCTATGTTTATTCTTTATCATTTTCAATATATGCTTTTGATTTTGGGTGGTTATTCTTTCCATTGTTATAGTCATTGAGTATATTGTTTTCTTATCTCAGTATTCAAAGCCCTCTACAGTCTGACTTCATTTTATCTGCCTAGAACAGTTTCATATCACCTACTCCCCCAACTCAAAATTCTAGCCAAGTGGTCCAACTTGCTATTCCCTAAATATGATACTCCATCTCCTGCTTCAATGCGTATATACAAGGTATTCCCCAAGCATCCCTATCTTCTCCTCTTAGAATCCATAGCTCTCTACCAACTTCAATGGGTCTTTCTTGGTTCCCCCAGACATTTGTTGTCTTCCTGCAATCATTTTTATATGTATTTTTTATTTATTTTACTGTATGCATGTTAATCTCGCCATACACCCCCTCCTCCCCCAACCCAGGTAGAATGTTATGATCTTGAAGGCAGGCCTGTATCCCCAACATCACTCCAGCACAGTGCCTGGCATACAACAAATGCTTCATAAACTCTTGTGGAATTCAATGTATTTCAGGAAGGGAAAGATTGTACAGAAACTTTAAAATAAGTTTTTGGTGCCTTCACTTTATAGTACTTGGGAAACAGTTTCAAAGAGATGAAAAGTAAACTGGTTGCTTCAAATATATCAGAAAGTAAAAGACTTAAAATGTTGAAATCAACCCAGAAATCATGATGCGAATATCCTGAGATATTATCAATTACCTTTGCTGAAATTCTACTCAAATGATTCATTGGAGATGTGGGAGTGATTGGAGATTTTCCAAGTCTATGACAGGGGAGAAGAGGCTCTGGTACCCCACCCCACCCCATCCTCAGCTGGAAAAGCAACAAGTCCAAGTAGGAAATTGATGATGTTGTCAAGGGACTAACCTAGATAAATTTTAAATGGCCCATTTCTAGACAATTGACATTTGAAGAGTATCTACAAAGGCTCCAGGACACGATGAATGGCGTTTCTTGAAGGCTACCATTATTATTGGGACAGTTCTCATGTTTTGTCATTTCTTTCCTGGAGGCTTAACCCCCAAGGAAGGGGAAGAAATGGGAGGGAAGGAAGGAAGAAGGATGGAAGAAAAAAGGAAGGAAGGACAAACAGGAAGGAAGGAAGGAAGGAAGGAAAGGAAGGATGGAGAAAGAAAAGAAGGAAGAAAGGGACAGAGGAAAGAAGGAAGGGAAGAAAAGGAAGGAAAGAAGAAAAGGAAGAAGGAAGAAAGGAAGGCATTAAGGAGGAAATAACTATTTATTAAGTGCTTACTATGTGCCCAGCTCTGTGCTAAGCACTAGTGATACAAATACAAGCAAAAAGAGCTTATCTTTATCCCTCAAAGAGCTTATATTCAAAGGAAGTTGAAAAGTCTTTGTGGGAGCTGAAGAGAGTGTACTCAATGCAGGGGCATGGTTTTGAAGTTTAAAAAGTCAGAGACAGGGCAGGGAGAATGATGGTAGGCCAGCCTGGATCCTTGCACAAAATGAAGGCTCTAGGAGGAAACTCACTTTTGAGATACCAGAGCAAGTTAGGGATTGCTGAGCCCAGCATCAGGAGTTAACGAATGGGTTTGGGCCAAGTATTCAACAACTGTCTCAGGCATACAGAGCAATGCAGCCCAAGACCTGCTGCCTCTAATCGATACATTCCTATCAGTGACATTTTCCTCTTCCTTCTTCATTGAGAGGCTGGTGAACTTATGATAAAACAATGAAACTGACTATTCTTAGTTCAATTAAACTCTTTCAGTATTGATTATAAAACCATACAATCATAGAAGTAGAAATAGAAGGCACCTCAGAAATCATCTATTCTAGTACACTTCCCTCATTTTACAGCTGAGGAAACTGAGGCTCAGGGAGATTAAGTGACCTAGCCAACATCACACAAACAGTAAATGTGTCAGGGCGACTTTTTGGAGTAATTATCATTTTTAAATTTTCTGTTATTATGAACTTCACAAACATCAACAAACATGAAGATTTTCTTATACAAGCCAGAAGAGAAAAAGATTTGATATGGTTCTGTTACATATAGCTTGTTTAAAAAAAACTACATATTTATATATTAAATATTATATATTCAAATTATAAATTGTTATTCTAACATTGCCCTAACTCATCTGTGTTCCCTCCTGCACTTCTTTCTGCTCTCTTTCGTGTGTTTTTAAAATATTTCACTGCCATCTTTTTCTTTATTTTCATCTATTTGGAATTTATCACTATCCCTCTTCTCCCATGCACCCCTTAATAATAAAAAAAAGCTCACCTTTGTAGCAAGTAAGCATATTTAAGCAAAACAAATCCAGAAATTAGCTAAAAATGGCTTAAAATAATCTGAAAATGTGTGTCTCATTCAGAAAGTATATTCTATTAATAGCTAGAGAGCATTTCCTGTGGGGTGGGAGCTTAGCCAATGCAGAATATACTGAATCTTGATCTAACAGGAAGGGACAATACTCATAAACCCTTAAAAAGCCTGTTTGATTTCTGATGTGCCAAAATATTAAATGATTTGCTTTTTTTCTCTTGAGTTCCATCATCTATCATGTCATCAAATCTTTTGTGACTTACCAGAATTAGGCCGAGGGGGCATTTTCATTTTGTTTGACCCTGGATTATGGAAAGAGTTGTTGTTATTGGCACTGATGACTTTGCTAAGTGGAGGCACATCCTTATCTGGGGTGGTCAAGTGGCTAACATTATACAATGCCTTAAGGAAGTTCTCATCATTCACGGCACAGATAGGTATGTTGTTTAAACCTGGATGAGTGGAAAGAAAAAACAAATCTCTAACTTTTAAAGATGCAGATTTTCAGGCTTCCTGTAGGGGGCAATGTCATACGTTGATATTTCAACCAAAACAAAGAATGTAGGCTTAAGTAAATGAGTAAGCTGCTTATTTCA